CATCTCAACCGAGGCAAAGCCACTAGCTGAAGGACTGATTTTTATTGAGAAATAAAGTTACCTACTAACTGGATCCAATACTTAACACATCAGGATTATGTCTAAACAGGGCTGTGAAATACTCCCCTGTTCTATCAGGGTTATTCACGAAGGAGCCGAAGGATCCAGCCGTAGCTTCAGCTGATCCTTTGTCTCTCTTCGGCCGCCGGAGCAGGGCTGCTGTACGGGCTATTCCCAATAGCCCTTACAGCAGCCGAAGGCAGGCGAACGGCTCAGCCAAGCCGAAGCCTATGGCTTCGGCTCGACTGAGCCGAAGTGACAGCCGGAGCGGGGCGAACGGCCTCCAAAAGGACGGCCATAAAACCCGCAAATGACAGCTGGGCGGAGCCAGCATTAATCTCAAGGCTGGCTTCCCCCAGTTGTAATGACAGATCAGCGTCCCCAAATGACCTAGGGACGCTGATTTGTCAATAAACAATAACAACTGGGCAGAGCCGGTCGTGACGGCATGGCCGGCTTCGCCCAGTTGTTATTCATTGGCGGGACCTGCTAGAAGACTCTAGCAGGTGCTGGCCAATAGGAAACAGTTGGGCGGAGCTGTCAGTTAGCTCCACCCAATTGTTTCTTTTTAAAAATATCTTTATTTCTTTTTTAATTTTACTATTTATTTACATTTTAAAAATATTTTTCCAACCTTTTCATTTTTTGTAGCCTTTTCACTGATTTTCTATTCTGCTCGGTACCACAGAGGTGCCGAGCAGAATGCCGCCGAGCTATTCACTCGCTCCGGTTCGGCCCCTATGAGAATAGGGGAAAATGGCAGCGAGTGAGCTGATGGAGCTTCGGCTCAGCCGATCCAGATGTTGGATCGGCTGATTCGAAGTCCATCTGCACTTCGGCCCAGCATTGTAGGCTGACGAAAGACATCTGCACAGAGCTGTACATCAGCTGAAATCAGCCGAACAAGCCCGAAGTGAATAGCCGAACAGCGTTCGGCTCACTTCACTTCGGCTTGGTTATTTACTAGGCTGCCTTCAGCAGCTTAGTGACTAACCCTCTATGTGTTGCTCACTCATTGGAGACATCTCTCCCATCATTGATGACTTACATTCTGCAGCATTTCGGTGAGCGCGGGAGTGACACATGGAACTTGTATGTGCTTTCACTGCATTTTTTTGTGATCCCGATGCTGGCAAGTTCTGGTCAGCGACAGGATTGCTTCTTCTGAAAAATGTTTGTTGCCATAATTATCTAATGGCGTCCATACTTGAAGCCACTGACTGGAACATCAGCCACTGACTATCTACATTACACAGATCAGGTCTTTTGATGTCTCTTGCTGCATGCTTGTTTCAGGTGTAAGAAAATACTGTGTGTGAGACCGCAGTCATTAAAGTGGACCTTTTCCCCCTTTGACTAAAAATCACATCAGCGTACAGCTCTGCATTGTGATATCATCTTACATTCATTAGTTAAACATATTTTTCTTTTATTTACAATTTACTTTTTTCTCCCCCGCTTCCTGGTCCACTTTGGCACAAATTATTTAATCTGTGCCCAAGCATTGCATTCTGGGAAGGTTACATAAGCAGAGCATCGCTGGGTAATCTCATCTGTAATTTCATGAGATCTAAGGGAAAGGCATTTTCCTCCACTGAGATGATGTGCATGGTCACATGTGCCATAAATCCAGGAAGTAAAAGGAGAGCTAGTAATCTGCCCTTAGTAAGCATGGACACTGCTAGAAGATTGGGGAAGAAAAGAGAAACAATGTATGCAAAGAATACAAAACCGCCAATTATCTATAGTAAGTGTTTGTAGATTATTACTAAACATTTCAAAAGGTGCCTGTGTTGTTATTTTGAAGATATTGGTAAGGTTCCTCTTTAAGTGCAGACCTTCGGAAGAAAGGGGGGATGGGACGGATTGGAATTATTTTTTTTTTAGGTAACATGAACGTATTTTAGGCATTTCCTTGGCAATTAAAGATTATATATGCCAAATGTTGCCATAAAGTGTATCTAAATCCCAAACATGTTTTGTTTTTAGTTTTGGATAGTGTGGGGAAGGATTAGAACCCATGTTATGTTTTTGTTATTGTCTGTGTCCCCACTGGGGCGATTAACCCGCTGTTTTGATCTGGGGACAGAAAGTGATGAGAAATCCAACATTTTATCGTTGTCACGAAAGTAAAGGGAATCAGTTTTCTAACTTCCACTCATTTTGATAAAATTTCTTCTCACTTCCTGTTGTGTCTCCAGGACCACCGCTGTACCTACGCACTTCGCCACTGACCACCACTAGGCCTACGCACTGTACTGACTGCAACTGCACCCAAGCATTTCTTCACTGACCGCTACTGTACACATGCACTTCTACACTGGCCATCTGCATCAGCCCATCTCCACTGACAACATCCACATGTTTCTCCACTGACTGCAACTCTACTAGTTCAATTCTCCATTGTTCATCACTGCACCCACTAACTCCAGTGTACCCACACATCTTTCCACTAACTGCCACAGTCAGGGCCGTCCCTATAATGGGGGCAGCCTGAGGTGGTTGCCTCAGACAGCATCTCATTGGGTCACGTGTGTGTGTGGGGGGGAGGCACAGCATCCCAGGTTGCTTAGAGCTCTTAGCATCCTGTGATGTTGTGGCTGGCTTCCTGCCCAGCTCCTGGCAACCAGATACATCAGTGAGCTTGCCCCCTCTCATGACTTTACTCTCTGCACAGGCTATGTACAGTACAGTGATTGTGTCACGGTGCATTTACAAGGTAATATCTGGGTTGGTGCTCACAGTGGATTTATACCCTTTGTGGCTTTTTGGGAATATATTTATATGAAGGTTTCTGTGCCTGGAGTCTAGCTTTAAGCATTGAAAATGAAAGCTAGAAACTGATTGGTTGCTATGCACAGCTGCTCCCGATTCTGTCTGCTTCAGCTCTTGTAAATTCCCCTCATTATATTCCCCGGACTGCGAATATTGTACATTAATACCACTATGGAATATCCCTTGCTGTCCTCTCCTCTAGTACATTGTATTAGACATGGTGACTCACAGGTCTCTAGACTTGCACATTGGAGGCTGTGGAGACTGGTCTAGCAGCCAGGGGGGACCAAGGTTCAGGTGAGTTTATCTTTGTTATTTTACACCCTAGACCAATATGATCACTTAACCCTTGCAATGCAAGGGTAGCCCCACTGCAAGGGTTAAGTTTTATTCTGCCTGGGCTTCTTTAAGAAAGGAACTGAAAGGGATCCATCAAAAGACTTGGAAGTAGCTGAGCTTAGATTGATTGTTAGGCTGTAAACAAGGTTATATTTCACTAAATCCGAATTCTGGCCTTCCCTTCAGCCTTGTACAGTTATGCAGACTCCTCTTGTGTACTGAAACTGCTTACTCTGATTTCACTGCACACTGTGAGTGTCTCTTAATGTGCATTTGAAGTTGCAGCACACCGTACTGGGAGACATCCAGCATCATCTAGCTTTTTCCTCCCCAGGCTGGACTGTCCCTGCCCCTGTCCCTCCTCTTTCATTCATTGGACTTCAGCATGGAGGCTCAGCATCAAATATAGTCATTACCAAAGCTTTCTACTTCCAGGAAGCTATGTAAACCTCCCTGCTAACCCCTCCAGCCATTATCTGCCCATATTGCACAGAGGCCTAGTGATGATGTCACTGGTATCAAATAAAAGTATGTCTTTCATCTTTTCATTAGGTTGTTGATGAGGGGCGAGAAGAGAAACCAGACAAGGCAAACTATCAGCTTTAATATTTAACCTATTGGAGACCAGGGATGAGCCGAACACCCCCGTGTTCGGTTCGTATTCGAACCGCCGAAATGTTGAGTACGAACTCAAACTCAATGCAAGTGTATGGGGGTCGAATATTCGACCCCCATACAGCTGCCAGTACATGTGGCTGCAGCGTCCTGTGTCCCTTCAAATCCCCGCCTGTGTTGTCGGAGGCAGCGGGGACACAGACCACTGCATTGCTCTGCTGCCCCCCGTACCTCTGCTGCTGTCTTCCCCTGGTCCGTCGGCTTCTCCGTTCCCCCGTCCGGCCGCGGCACCTACTTCTTCCAGTCCGTCCGCACCTCCTCTTCTGCGGGTCCGTCCGCTCCTCTTCCCGGGTCCGTCCGCTCCTCTTCTCCCGGTTCGCCCGCTCCTCTTCCTCCGGTCCGTCGGCTCCTCCAGTCCGTCGGCTCCTCGTCCTCCAGCCTGTCAGCTGCTCCGCTCCTCCACTGCCCCGCCCCCTCTTCATCTGCAGGCATTGAGCCATACCCAGCCTGCTATTGGCCAATAGCAAGCTGGCTATTGCACCCGACTGCTGTCAATCAGCATGGGGGACCTGATAGAGAACTTTCTCCTTCAGGCCCCTCCTCCGCTGAGCCCTGATTGAGCAAAGTGTTGCACCTGCCCTGTGGTCAGGTGCAAGACTAACAAATCAGTGGGCATTTTGTATTATGGAATGTCCGCGATCGAACAAACCGTGAACATCCCATAAAGTTCGGCGTTCGACGAGCGCTCGAACTGCCGATGTTCGATTCTAACTCATGCTCGAATCGAACACTCAGCCCATCCTTATTGGAGACTATGGGACATAATGTGCAGGGTAGTCATGACCAGGAGAAAAGCAAACCCACAGTACAGAATTGCAGCAGTCTTCCTTGGTTTCCTATTCACTAGCAGAAGAGAGGAAGTGCCAAGCATGGAAGGCAGCCAGAAAAAATGAAATACAAATAAACAAAATGATAGAAGTCCTAATGTGGATTTTGGCAATCCTTATAATGTCCTGATCATAAATTATTGTGACACTATGGTTTTTATACTTGAACACACTTATACACACTTGACAACTATGCTGCACAAGATCTGCAATACGTTATAGGGGTTGAACTGTATTAGTACTTGTGTTTAATTGATCGTTCTCTACACAGTGGCTCACAATGTTCAAGAATTGTAAAAAAGAAAGAAAACCAGTCTTACATACCCATGTGACCAGTGCTCCATCCATCAAGCGGTCAATGGTTTTCCCCTCGTGGTTGTCCATATTTACAATGCTGAATAAGAACGATCACAACTTGTCAAGCTTCTCCTACTTCCACACACATGGTCTCATATCCCACCCATACATTTTGCACTCTCCAGCATTCAGTCCTCTTGTCGTCACCTCTCTTGCTGTGTTCTCTCTACTTAGCCCTACTTTACTTTGTCACAGCCTGTGGTTTCTGCATGTACATCATTTCCTCTCTCATCTCCTTATCTCCTCCCTTTTCTTACCACACAACCACTGTGATACAGGAAGCCTCCCATTGCGCAGTCTCCGACAGCCAAATTTACCCTTTCAGAGAATACAATTTTTAAAAAAAGGTTCAATTTTATAAACCTACACCTCTCTGACAATACAGAATTCAGCTGTGCGTATATGTTGCTTCCTGAGCAACCAAAATATACCTGCTAGCTATTCCTTCTGACTATATACTGTCACTATTATGTTGGGTATGTATCCAAAATATTGTGGCAGCTGTCCATTAACCCAGTGAGTGTTCAGCATCTTCATGCAACATTGAGGATCCACCTCGTGCTGGAGGAAGAAGAGGGTAAAGAAGACATGGGACATAACTGGACCAGACACTTGGGGGGAATTTTTTTTACAGATTTGGACAACTTTGTTATAGAAACAATGCTTCATTCCACCTGAAAAGTCAGGACATTAAAAGCCAGTCTAATGTACACCTGCATGCCATTGGTATGTCATAGAGTAACTACAAGAGTTACTCTACAAATATATTCTAAAATGGCCTGGTTAGATTTGTTGGTATATCTTACATAGTTACATAGTATTTGAGGTTGAATAAAAGACAAAAGTCCATCAAGTCCAACCTATTGTGTGTATGCATTTATGAGCTGGTGTGTGCGTGTATGTCCATGTGTGATTTTCCTCTTAGCTATACCTGTACCCCTGAATGTTATGGTCTCCCAGGAACTCGTCCAGGAGTCTCTTGAATGATTCCACACTCTTAGCTGAAATCACTTCCTGTGGCAGCGAGTTCCAGACCTTAACCGCTCTAACTGTGAAGAACCCCTTGAAAATCTAGAAAAGATTTTAAATGATTGGAGTAGTCAGACAGTTCTGTCTCAGTTGGACGTCATGGGTCCTCCCAACTGGATAATGACCCAAGACACACAGCTAAAAAACACCCAAAAATGACTAAGAGCGATCATTGGATTATTCTAAAGTGGCCTTCCATGCATACTGATCTGAATCAGTTTGCTCAAGTTTAGAAGAACTACAGTGATTGCACTGACATATTAGGTTATGAGTCCCATCATTTTAGTCCATGCCATTTTCGTTTCAAATATTCTGTTGAATCAAAAATTAGATTTGTATTAAATATGTAATAAAACAATAATGCATGCCAATTAAGTTTGTCATTTTTGAGTTATTTCAGAGAAATTTGCGTTTTATTTTTCATGGAAGGATACTGACAAATATATCCACATCTAAGTATACAGTTTTGTTTTTTTAGATGGGTGTGGAGGTGCTCCACTGGGTTGGAAATAAAGGGAATCCTAAGCCCCAAGTTGAATTTTAGGTATCCAGCTACTTCTGAACCATGTATAGATAAATGGTACCGGTCCAAATAATTAAAAAGAAAAAAACAAAAAAACCAACAACAAAATCTTACCGTGTGCGTGACCATTTGTGACTGCTCTACTGTTTGGAGGCCAGGCCCAGACACTGAGTTTGCCTTATCTTGCTGTATATGGGCAAAGAAGGTAGGAATAGATCTACCTTCTTTTTCAACAAGAAATTGCGGACTAATTTCATTCAGGCAATGCCAAGACTAGAGGTAATGCATAAATAAGAGTAATCCGTGGCAGCAAATTATAGCTCCTCTTTCAGTGATCTAACATCAGCAGACTGAATCTGATTTGTTGCTATGGTATACTGAAATGTACTTTTCCCCTTATGGAGTAGCAGATAATGAAAGTAACATGGAAACCCAAGTTAAGGTTTCTATGCCCTTTTAGTGGTAATTATTAGATTATTAATGTACAACATTAATAGAGCGCCAACAGTTTCCACAGTGATTATAAAAGGGATACAGTACAGTTACAATACAATTTAAGACAAGAGGGTTAGTAGGGACCTGCTAGTAAAGGCTTACAATCTAAAAGCGAGGAGCAAGTGATACAAAAAGATAACCAGTGTAGGGATGAGTTGATTGTAAAAGTTGTTAGGTAGAGGAGGGATAGTCTTCCCTGAAGAGATGAATTTTTAGCAATCATCCAAAGTAGAAGATAGCAGAACAGATTGAGCAGAACAGATGAAGGTAGATAGTTAGAGGATGACGGAGGCTCTGGAGAAGTTCAGTAGGCAAGGAAAGGAGGAGGTGACAAGTGAGCTAGAGAGTAGTAAGTCTTGGGAGGAGTTTGGGTGATATTCGATATTATGAGCTTAATTTCAGAAAAATTTAGTTTTAGGAAGTGGTGTGACATCCATACTGATAAGTCAATTAGTAAATTGGTGATGCAAGAGGAGACTGAAGGTGAAAGGTGAGTTGTAGAGAGATAGATTTGGGTGTCTTCAGCAGAGATGGTATTGGTAAGTGTGACGGACTGAACCGTCATTGGGACTGCTGGAGGAGCCTGAGGGCCAGCCTCCTTCCTAGAGACTATGGACCTAGGACTATAGAGACCCCCCCCTTGTGGGTTGAACTGGGTGTCCGGGGCCCATGGACGGCTTTTGCGGGGGAGCCTGGCCCTACAGCCGTCCAATTTCACAATTCAATACCGGCTCTGGAAACCCAGTGTTAATGACAATGGTACACATATCAGCCCTCCCATTCAAGCTATCAGACCAATCCCTGTTTCAAGTCCTCATTTGCATGGCCAAGAGGACCAAAGTGAGGACAAGAGGATACTTTGCAGTTGACCAATAGGCATGTTGTCAGTTGGGCCACCTTCAAACTGTTGTTTATAAAAGTGTGTGCGCATCCAATAAAGGAGATTCCTGTTTGAACTTACATACAGCCTGCCTGGTGTTTGTTCGGAGCTATCACCACTGGATACGAACGACACATAGCTGTAGTTCCAATCCAGAATTATCAGACGACCGAAATATCAGACGCTGTGGTCTGAAATCCGAGGAGTGCCGGGAGAGAGGAACCGAGCGAACAGGGGCTCGTTACAGTAAGGTCTCTTATGCAAAAATCCGGTCAGACTATGTAGTGATGTTGCGTTTCATCTTTAGCAGCCTCCTTTCCCTTACGAATAATGCACCTAGAATACTAGAATTTCCCCCCAGGACTTGAACTATATCCTCTGGCCATGGATGTTGCTGTTGACCCATAGAATAAATGTAGCAGGTGGAAGTGGAGAGCTGAACCAGTAGAAGAGTAATCCAGGAAATGTCGCAAAAGGCCAGGGCCAGCAGCAGACAAAGAAATATCAAGAAAACGTAGTCGAGGGCTGGGACAGGTAGCAGACCAGGGTCTGTCCATGGACTTGCAGATTAATATGAATGTATTGGAGAGCAGGCAACAGCTGCTGAAAGCTTTCCAAAAAATAAGATTGTTGTACTTACTGTAAAATCTTTTTCTTTGGGTCAATTGAGAAACACGGTAATGTAATCGATGATGTGTGGGTTATACTGCCACTTACAGGAGGTTTGGACACTGCAAACAAAAACAATGTTAGGCCAGTCCCTGTTTAACCCCGCCTCCAACTGACATGCCTCTTTTGTGAGCAAGCAATACAAAAGGCTAATAGAGACAGGCAGCCACTAACTATTCAGTAAATATTGTGTAAACAGACATCTTAAAAACAGGGGAGTGCATAACGGATCCCAGTTAATGTAGGACGTTAGGGAAACCCAACAGGGAAGGTTAGAGTTTGGAGAATAAGCAAGCAACCAAAGGAGTTGGACTCAGTGGGATAGCACTCCCTAGAGAGGAATTCCACGAACGTGTAAAAAATCACAATAAATTGGAAGTGTACCAGAAAAGAATCAGTAAAATATACATGATAAAAAGTGCTAGAAAGGGAGCTGCAGGGGAAAACCTGAGCATTCATAATTGCTAGGATACTAAAAAAGCTTTTATGCAGAAAAAAAAGGCAGCCTCCCACATGGAAGTGTGAGGAAGTATTTATACAGAAGACTTGGATATTGTGGCCAGAATATCTGCCATTAGAATGCAAGAAAGGCTTGCAAAAGCAGAAGCAAAGTGAGCCCAATCTCTGTCATCTGCAGACCTTCTGTGATGAGATGATGCACTCCATTCTCCAGAGGACGTGGGAGTGACTGGTCAATGGAAAAAGCTGCCTACCCTTGGATGAATAAATTAAAAATTATCCTGGGTATCATCAGTTTCCCAGGCATTGAGTCAAGTGTTCCATGCATGCGAATGAACATGAGCATGCGAATGAACATGTGTGTGATGTAAGCCTAGTGGCTTGTAAGAGACCACCATGGCTAAAACACAAGGCTTGTTGAATTTTGTCCAAAAGCTCCAGGGTGTGTGGGTCTGCCCTAGACGTGGAGGAAGTATGTGAGGATTCAGGCTCTAATTGCGAGGTTAGACAAGAATTAAAGAAAGGGTGTCCTTACTGTAAGAGAGTGCCAGGATCTCGTCTACGGTCATTGGTCTGTTCCAAGAGAGCTGGAAGATCATTAGCATAATCAGGATTGTTTTCTGTGTGTTTATGTTTTCCAGTATACACATCTTTACATATAATGTCCAGGCCCAGAAGGAGGCAAGGCCTTGTGTACTCATAAACCCAAGCAGCTAGTGCTGATAAGATTAACAGGCAGCCGAAGGTGACAGTCACTACAACAGTGTCCACACCCCGTGGGCAGCATTATAACTCACACATCATAGACTATTCTACATTCCTGTGTCGAAATAGAAATAACCCATTGAAGCTGCCGATAGTTTGGAACCTGTGCCAAGAGAAATACAGAAGCTGGCACCTCCAAAATGCAGCTAATAAGGTCAAAGGAAAACTCATGATCTGCATGCTTAGTCCAGGTTAGTGAAGCCTTTGGATCAAAAGAACAGCCAGGAATCTAGTATATTAAATTATGAGACTCCAGCGGTGCGGCGGCTCTCCTATCCAGCGCTGACTGCTCGGTCTCTCCGATCCATCGGTGTCTGCATGCGGGTGCACGTGTCCATACACTTACCTTGCGTCTCTGCTCGTCTCCCGGCCGAGAATCCGAACTGCGCATGCCCCAAGATGCTCTGCGGCCACCCGAACAGTTTTGTTTTCTCGGGCGGGAGCGCGCAAAGAAAAGAAAAAGGTACGTTTAAACCGCTGTTTTAGCGTTTTTGTTTTAAACTGTTTGCCTATATCTACTGCTTGATAGCAGTAGATATAGGCAAAAAAAGGGAGGAGGGTTTAGAACCCCTTTAAAGTAACCTTTTGAGGGAAACATGCGGACTGCCTTTGCGGACATCTCTTTCTGAAAGTGCTAGTTAGCTGGCTGTCATGCTGACCCTTTGTATTTGATACAGAGTCACCAACCTGTTATAAGTATGCAGATGAGGACTTCTGACTTGATGAAAATATTTATAGAACTCAAAGTAAACTCCTGCCAGTAAGGCTAGGTTCAGATCTGAGTAATCCTAGGACGCACAGGTGCAGTGCACAATTGCACACAGCGATCAGCAAAAAAAAAAAAAAAGTACAAGTACCTTTTTCTTGCAAAACATTACATGCAGCTTTTTTTTTAGCCGCAATTGTGCTCAGTTACACAGACGATATGACAGCAGGAAACCGCGCGATCTGCTTGGCGAGACTGGGGTGCCATTAGAAAATAATGGCACACCAAGCGCGATTGACAGTGGTGGGCGATTCCGTAACCGCACAGCCATCCATGTGGTTTTGTGCACGATTGCTGCGTGGTCAAGGATCGCCCTGGTGTGAACCTAGCCTCAGTTATACACACACAGCTAAATTTGTTTGGAAAACGGTTTACATGCTAAATTAAGTCTGTTCAACTCATGTGATACATGCACCCTTGCCACACTGCAAAGTCAGGCATGTGACCTTACTTTTCTCTATTAAAGTTTAACAATATAAACTTGGTCACTTCCTTCCCACAGCCTCTTGGCTGGGCAGTGCAGGGGCATCGCCATGCTGATGAGTCATCTCCCTGCTGTGCTTTCCTATAAGCAAAATCCCGATCCCCTAAACAAACTGTTAGCAATTTACACATACAAGATACACTTTATTTTGCCTTTCAAGGTTCTCTTTTTTACACATTTTTCTGGCGCACCTTTGCCCTCTTTCACTGCTGAACTTTCTCAAACTGTACTGCGTTCAGTGCTAGAATGTTAAATAAAAAAAAAAAAAAAAAGGGACATACCCATGTTTCCAGAAATGCATCCAGATCTGCTCTGGAGACGGTGTGAACAAGCCCCAACCCATTTAAAATAAGGACAAATAAAACAGCTTAGCGCAGGAGAAATATTTGCTATTGCCTTTAATACATAATTGTTGGATATTATACAACCAGTCCTGATACTAAGTTCTTTGCAGTGTTATACTTCTACAAACAAATGACATTTCCATGAATATGTACATTTCCAGTTTAGAGTTGAGACAATATGTTTCCAGCCAGACTGCAGGTCAGACCAGTGCCATCTTCCTCCACGTTAATAGCTTTCACCTTCCCACAATCAACTATCAGGGAAAACCTGTAGGGGAAAAAGAAAAAGAAAAAAAAAAAATGAACTGTAAACTTGAATGAGCAAGGCCATTCACCATGCTAACACCATTTCTCTTGGTCTGCCTTAAAGCAGCACTAGCATCAGATATTTTATGGTCCTTGCTGCTCCTACATTGTAGGTGAGGATGTTGAGGGCGTACCTGGAAGAGAAGATGACCGGGGTGCCAACTGCAACAGGACCATGGATTAAAGGTATTAACTCTCCATGAGATCCCTCCATAGACAGAGCATTATATTCTGAATATGCTAGGGGAAGGCAAGCATTATCTCTACAAGATCACAGCACTCCTTAGAATGCCCTCCTTTGCTTAGGCATCATCCAGTGTCAGTAACTACTTTCTAGACTAAAGCCAGCCATACACTATGTAACGTTGAGCCTGTCCTTGACTTGGTAAACGTATGCTAGTGAGATCTGACCCGTTTACTTTTTTTTTTTTTTTTTTTAACACACACTGCAACATAAATCATTATTAAAGGATAACTACACCCAAGAACAAAAAAAAAAAAAAATTGATATAGTGCACCTTACCAGTCCTTTTATTTGGAGACCGAATCAATTTTTTATTTTTGTGTGTCAGGCTAACAGAAATGCAGTTTCCTTTTCACTTCTTGTGAGATAAACTGGAAGCACAAACAATGTAATTTTCCTTCTGTAAAACGAATAATCCCATCACCCCCAATGTAATGGAGATGAACAAAAGGCAGACATGGTTGAAGAAACCATGGCTCCCTCCATACAGTGAAGGGGTAAGTCCAGCCACCCAGGGCAGGAAGTCTGTTATTTGCAGGCTTCACAGGTGAAAATGAAATTAAATGAAGCCTGGAATAAGAAAATGAATGCAGCCACCTTATAAAGGACTGGTAAACCGATATATTAAAGGTTTGTTTTTAAATACGCTTAAAAGGTTTCCTATAGTCGCCTAGAAAAATGCAATAGGTCATTTCTCAGAAACACAACCGCAAGTGAGAAAATCTCTCCAAAATGAGAAAACTCCTCTCTTAGCCTTGGGCTACATGACGATTAAATCTCATTTCCTACTAAAGTAGGGTATAGGTCAGAATTTTGAATGAGCGAAAAATCGATTTTGAAACGTTTGTTTGACTTTCTAATAGTTGATAGGAATTAAATCGATGACTGATGAAAAAATTAGAAGGGAGCATGTTGGAAAATTTTTCTTGATCGAACAAAATTCTTAGTGAATGTGGTTTTAATTCGGGAAAGTTAATTCACTTTAAAATCGAATGGTAAACCAAAACGAAAATCAAATTAAATTCTCCAAAGACAAATCACCAGGTCCCTAATGGCATTATCGATCATTCAAATGTTCGTACAAAAAAATCTACCCGTGTATACCCTATTAAGAGATTTAACTTTTTGTTGGCAGTTCTCATTAGCATCACATTGATTTCAGTGTGTTACAAACGATGGCCAACAAGCAGTTTATTTTCTCATTAGCACAGAGATTTAATCACCAGTGTAGTCCTACCCTCAGATAGCTGTACCATAACAGGTTCCCTTTTGAAGAATTACACTTTCATTTTATTCCAATGATAACTCAAAATTGTGGATTTTCCCCTGCTTTCAGCCAATGTTCAGTAAGAGAGGGTGAATCTCCACAGCAGAGACTTTGAAGAAGTTCTAACCATTCCCTACTTTATTCTAAATGGCCTTAGATATTAACAGGGATATTCATCAAAGGGTGAAGAGTTTAGAGAAATCTAGGCCAAAATAGACAATTCAGAAACATTCTCCAATTCAGCTCACTTTCCAGTACAGCTATGTTGTCCTAGATTGTTCACTTCTCCTGACTTCTCCAAACTCTTCACCCTTTAGGTAAATAGACCTATAAATGTTGCAGCATTTTGTCCCTCTGTAACTCATGCAGTAGCGCGAAGAACGGCAGAAAGTGGACCGTAGTTTGCTGCAACAATGTCAACACTTTAACAGGATTGAGCCAAGAAGGGACAGATGTGCGCAGAAGTGCAGGCAATGGTACCAAGAGCACTAAGCAAGATACCTTCACTGGACTTTCAGGGACTGGCTATACACTTACTCCACTAGGCACCTGGCATTTCACTAGGCTATCCAGAATGGGGTACATGTATATTCTGATTTGGGTCTGCTACCATGATTTGACTGTATAGTTTTACTACCAAGCCATTGCAGACTGACTTTATAAAAATAGGGTTGGATCGTGTGGTCTGCCGATTTGTCCTGCTGTTCTTTCCTGTCCCAAAGTCTGTAGAGATTGTTGTTCGTAATCACAATGCAATGTCCTAAAGGCAATGTTAACCTACATTTCAGTTTGAAACTATTCTCCTGAAGTGCCGAGAACATGCTGGTTGCACATTAACAATTGGGAACCACTTACTTATTCCTGATCCGATCCAACCAAACTGATCACATGAATTGGCAACAAAAACAAAACTGCCACAATGCAGATGTTAAAGTTATATTCAGACAGTAAATAAAAAAAATAAAATAATTTTAAACTCTAAAAAGAAAATATAGGCTGTTAAGTGTGAATTGGGATTGGCATCTACAGATATGTATTATCCACAGATAATAGTCGGCCGAACTGCTGGAATGCAGGACAGTAACGAGTTGGCTCTCGCCTACCTAATTATTTGCCAACTAATTATTAAAAAAAAACAACAAAAACCCATACATATTTTATAAAAACAGTCCAGGGAGAGTAAACAGCAATCCATCAGATTGGTCTGGCTTTATTAAAGCTGACTTTCCATGAAAATAGGAGGTATGATTTACTGACTGTCCTACTAGTAAAAAAAATACTAACCTCACACCTGGCCTTAGTGCATTCTGCCAGGAATTTTAGCATCCAGCTATCCCAGGAGGGAGTAATGTGTGATGGTGATGTTACCTGTGGCTCCCGGAATCATTGGAAGCTAAGGCCAAGCTATTTTCACAAGCATTTTTAAGCAATATGTATTTTAAATGGCACCACCACCTAGTATACATAAAGTATAGATGCGAATGTGTTGTGCTACTTAAAATGGCGCACATTAAACTGGCCCTTTAACTTGTGTGAGAACAACATGTGAAGTTGTCACAAACTGAATTCTTAGATCAGCTTACTGAAAAACACTGACAGTGTGGAACTGAGCCACCTTCTTGATACAAATGGACAAAGAAAAAAAAAACTTTTACAGGTCTTTTCACAAAAGGGTGAAGAGTTTGGAGAAGGCAGGAGAAGTGAACAATCTAGCGGATTTGGAAAATGTCTCCAGTTCAGCTATGTTGTCCTAGATTGTCCACTTCTCCTGCCTTCTCCAAACTCGTCACCCTTTTGTGAATAACCCTGTTAGTATTATTCTGAATGTATATGTGCAGCTCTATAGTAAGAATGCAATGGGAACTAGGTTAAGCCAGCAAAGGAAGGACTGCATTAGGCGGCAAGGACTTACCTTTGGCACCTTTGGGTCCCAAAGAGAGCGAGCAGCTCTTCTTTGTTCAATCCTAATCCAGCAGCCTGAAGTAAATATATATATATATAGTTAGACAGCATCAAGCTATACCAGCTTAAAAAGGTAACAAAGTGTTTACGTAAATTTTATTTTAATTTTTTTTTTTTCTAGGCTTTTAAACTTTTGTTTTATATTGCTGCATCTATACAGACACACATACGTTTAGAGGCATAATTTACCTTTCTTACCATGTTTCATGTTACACCAACATTTAGAGTATAACTTGAAACTTAGTCAGATTGTAACCCCCACTTCCCTGAATTGCGGTGGATCTTCTCCCCACAGGACAGTGTACATTTTTTATTTTTGGTACGGCTCTGTCCACAAAGCTGCATCACTGCAGCAGAAGGACTTGTAGTTCTCCATGGAATACAAGTGTGGTGACATTACCACACTTTTAGTCCATTGACACTCCCACCCACCAAAGTTACTGCAGAGCAATGCATTCCATTGATCATGGTTGCAATGCTTTACTGCAAAAACATAATAAATGCACATTTTTGTGCATTTATTTTTTTTTAAAAGGTGGAATTTCCCTTTAAGGCTTAGCAAAGGATTCTCAGAGCTCGATGGGCTATCTAAAAGAGACAACACAACAGATGAGGATCCATTTGCCTGATGGAAATCTTGTACTAAGCCCCCTCACTGATGTTAAAGCAGAACTCTGGGCACATCAATTCCTAAACCTTGCAGTGGGGCTACCCGTGCACTGCAAGGGTTAACTGCTTGTTTTGTCTTAGAAGCTAAAATAACAAAGTTATACTCACCTGAACCACGATCCCAGCTGGCTCCTACATCACTCCCTGCCCCGTGAATGTGATGACTCACAGAACCTTAGATCGCTTGAGCAGAGGGGGAGTGAGGCTAAAGGGTTTAAGATTTGATCTGCCCGGAGTTTTGCTTTAAGACTCATTGGATTCTTTCAACGCAACTGAGAGTGATAGGGCTCTAGTCTCCTTCTCACATGTGGAGCATTCTATTTGCTTGTTGGATAGGAGACTAAAAAAAAATATTATCACTTGTGGATATTTGGAGTGCTACATATGCCCCAAAAAACTTTATCGGAGTACACAGGCTTGTGTAGCATGTCCTGTCCATGTCCCCAGCTGCCGCTCCACTTTACCACCCCCTGCATTGGACAACCAGGATTTGCTGTGCAAATACAACAGCTATTGCTGGGCAAAAAAAACGGACCTAGTGCTCATAAGGGATTCAGAGATACAAAATAACAAAGTTACTATGTATTCCATCTGAAAAAAAAATACAAAGTATTGCATTTACTCTATTCCATTAGCCCCGGTTCATGCCTAGGCGGCACCATTTTTACGTGTTTATACACGCGTTAGCAGCATGCGGTTATTTGCGCACATTTGTATATGCATTTTAACACGCGTACATGAAGGCGCCTGTGTTTTGATTGGCAGCTCATAAACCATTGTAAGCAATGGAAGAACGTGCGTATAAACGTGCAAAAACACTCACAAAAATGTGTAACATGCTTCTGTTGCGCGTTTTTGGCCATTTACAATAAAGTCTATGGGGAGGAAAAGCGCTTTAACTGCCCAAAGAAGCTCCTGTATCTTTTCAGGCGTCTGGCATTTTCCTGCTAGGCATTTTTCTGCTTAGTTGTGAACTAGGGCCATTGAAAATCAGGGGATTTCTTGATTTCAGGGGATTTCGAACTGCTCAAAAACACCTAGGTGTGAACCAGGGTTTAATCTCCAAATCAAAGAGGTGAGCTTCGATCAGCATATCGTGTCAGTTAAAGCAACCTGACAAATAAATAGTCTTCTTATTCAATCCCTTATAAAACCAATCTTCCTGCTGTTTTTTGTTTTTGTTTATTTCTGCTTTTCTAACCATTAATATTTAAAATTACATTAAAGTCTTTTTTTTACATATATCTACTGCTAGCTAGCAGTAGATATATGCAAAAACGTTTTAAAAAAATAAAAAAGTTGCCAAAACGGTCTCCGCCGCTCGCTCCTGGCTGTAGTATCCAGCTTCTCAAGCTGGCCATGCAGGAGGATGTGTGCGGGCTCATGACCAGTGGAGATCACCGGCGGGGAGAGGAGAGACACAGTGTAAGTCAATGCATGCAACCGTGAGCGTGCATATTGGACAGACTCCGTGGGACAGGAAGAGACAGCAGTATGCACTGGATTAAGGACTGGCACAAGCGCTGGAGAGACTGCTGAAAACTACTGGAAGGAAGATGTTCAGATCAAGAGGCATCATTTAAGTTAAGTCCCGTGGATGGGGGGGGGAGGGGCTTTAATGTCACTTTAAACATGTTTTTATTTATTTTTTATTGTTTTTTTTGCATTTATTTCATTTGTAGATATATTTTCAATGGCTTTGTAATATAATAATTTTAGGCTCCATTGATACTGCTGCATTGCTCTAAAAAGGCACAGTATCTGTGCATTTAGCGCACACTATTGCACAACAAGTTAGGTGCGCTGGTGTGTGGTCATACATTCTGACGCATTCCTATTTTTTCCACTGCACGACAATGCAATGCAAGGTACTACATTACCACATGTTGCAGTGCACACAAAGCATGCCCACTGGAAGGTATGTTTGGGTGCCATTCAAAATGAATAGTAACACAACACACCAGCGCACCTAATGTGCAGTGCACTGCGTTGTGAGACACTGTACGCTAAACACACGGATATCATCTATTTAGCGCAACGCAGCCACTAATGAAACTTGACTGTGACCACTTCTTAATTGTGTGTCTGGTTAGAGTAAAAATCTTTCTCATCTTCAGTATTCAATTACAGGTTGGTGGGTCACAAATACACGGGAAAGCTGTTGTATATACTTTGCTATATGGGAGGCAGTCTGATTTGTGTCGGTGTCACAAATTGTTTGAGACATGTCCCCCAGAGTATTGCTGCTATGATACACTGCAATTACCTTGACAAAGTCCCCAGTGGGATCAGCCAACATCCGCACCTACAGAAACATAAACACAGTAAAACAACCGATGAGACATAAAAATACTCGACATTAAAAAAAAATAAAAAATACCCTAACAAAAATGTTTTCCTGCTTTTGAATAAAACACAAACACAAACAAACCTGCTGCAAGTACACAGGAGGGGTCTGCAGCACCCTTTAAACTGTATCTATGGAAAAAAACAACCTAAAAAGATATACTTCTATATTGAATTTCCATACATTCTACCTCACTCCTAATAACTAGGGGTGCACCGATACCGACACTAGTATTGGTATCGGTGCCCATGCTGAGTATTTGGCAGAGTACTCTTACTCGCCCAAACGCTTCGATGCCTAGCCCAATCTTTCCGGTATCAGGAAGCCGCCTCCATGCTCTCTCCTCACTTGTGAGGAGAGAGCATGGAGCAGACTTCCCGGCCAATCAGGAAGCCGGACAGCGTGTCCCGGCTTCCTGATTGGTCGGAAGCTGGACAACCAGGAAGCGAGTCGCCATGTAATGACACGGCGCCCGGCTTTCTGATTGATCGGGAAGCCGGCCTCATCACCCCTGATCACCTCATGACCAGGGAGCATGGAGCCAGCTTCCCGGCCAATCAGGAAGCCGGACAGCGTGTCCCGGCTTCCTGATTGGTCGGAAGCTGGACAACCAGGAAGCGAGTCGCCATGTAATGACACGGCGCCCGGCTTTCTGATTGATCGGGAAGCCGGCCTCATCACCCCTGATCACCTCATGACCAGGGAGCATGGAGCCAGCTTCCCGGCCAATCAGGAAGTCGGGCGCCGCGACATTACACAGTGCCGTGGCTGCAGTGCCATTAACTTCAATGCACCACCATGCCCCTTCGCTCCAGAATGCAGGGGGAAGTTTTGTGAGCGATTGCAGTGCGTTCCAGCAGCTACCGCTTTGGAACGCACCGCAAAAAATAAAGCAAACAGCGACTTGCTTGCAACAAACAAAACACTTTTCTTCCAGCAGTTTGTACAAATGACGTCCTTCCATGATTTTCTCAGACTTGGAAACAAGCCATTTTCATTACTCTGAGTCCTTATCTAGTTCTGTCAGTCTTCACATCTTTCTAGTTCTTTTAGGGCCCAGTCACACCACCTCCAGACCAGACCAGATGGTTTACGGACCCAAAATGCCTCCTAGTGTATCCCTATGCTATTTCCGGCCTCTGTTCACACCAGCGCAGTCCGTTCCAGACCAGACCAGAAAAATACTGCGTGTCTCATTTAGTCTGGTCTGGAATGCACTGGAACTGCGGGCAGGTTCACACCATTTTCCAGACCAGATCTGGACTAGATCTGGTCCTGAAAATGGTGTGAAGCTGCCCTTAACAATGGTTATGTACATGCAGGGCGCTTCCCATTTAAATGGTTACTTAAAAAAGTGTCATCTTACTACAATAAATAAATAATGGCGTACCTAGACATAAATGTGTCAGCAAAGCATCCAAGCTGTGAGCTGATAGCAGCATTAGACAAGACAATCCTGCCCTGCTTTTCCAGCTTACGTTGGTTACACAAGAAAGTCTGGAAGCCAGCCAATGCCTGGGGTTACACAACAGACCGCGCCTTCCTCGGCACAAAATCTACCCTTGTGCTTTCCACATTACAAAAAACAAATCTCAAGCACGCAATGGGATACAAACTTTCTGCATATATCTGAGCTTACATAAAGGTCAGTATATAATACAGGAGATGAGGAAATGGTAAAGAAATTAAAACCATTGGCTTTACATGCTACAAATGTAACAAAGTTGAATTTCTGAATGACCAAAAGGATTCCATCTAATATTTTTCTAGTGCATGCTAAAAAGGTAAACATTTGAGGAGTTGCTATGAGCAACACAGACACATGTACCTCCAATTTCTTTGCAGGAAACAGATTCACTTGTGGAAAAATGAGTCAACAAACATGTGTAAAACCATTGCAGAACGCTGTGCCCACAGGAAAGGTGTGTGGAAATGTGTCACAGTGGCTCACTGGTTAGTACTTCTCCTTTGCAACACAGGGTCCTTAGTTCAACTAGGACATTATCTACATGGAGTTTGCATGTTCTCCCCTGTGCTTGCATGGGTTTTCTCCAGGCACCCTGGTTTCCTTCCACACTTCAAAGAAAATACTGGTAGGTTATTTGGCTGCTGCCTAAATTGGTCCTAGTATGGGTAGATAGGAGATAGGGACCTTAGATTGTAAGCTCCTTGAGGGCAGGGACTGATGTAAATGAATACTATGGAAAGTGCTGTGTACATTGACGGCGCTATATAAACCCCTGTAATAATTATATGCCACAAAACTTTTATGTATAGTTCTGGGAAGCACATCGACTAAAACATTGTTCCAATTGTTGACATAAGGGGTCAGTTCACTGTCCTCAAGACTGTGGTCAGTGAGAGTAGAAAATGCCCCGGTATCAGTGCAAACAATGCCCCAGGTTCAGTGGGGATTAAAAAAAAAATGGCCTACCTCCTGTAGTCAGTGGAGGGAGGAATAATGACTCATTGTTTGCGTCAGTGGAAGCAAAAGGGCTCCATCATTAGTACCAGTAGAAGGAATTGTGCCCTATATCTGGAGTCAATTGGAGAAATATCACCCAATCAATGGATTTCAGTGGGAGGTATTCTGCCCCATTGTTAGGCCCCACTGTTGGTGTCAGAGGAAGGAATGCTGCCCCATTGTTGGGGTCAATAGTGCCCCAAGGGCCAGTTAAATGCAAGCAAAGGGCCGTATTCACCCCACTGGCCCCAGACTGGAGACCACTGGTTTACATCATACCGTTTTGAAAATACTGCTATTTTCAAAAAGCATTAAAAAAGACCATAGTTTCTTTTTAGCCCTCGTTCACACCTGAACGTTTTGTAGCGCGTTCTACGCTCGAAGAACGCTCTACAAAACGCTCAAAAATATAAATTGCATTGGAGTCAATGGACTCGTTCCCACCTTGCCGTATTTCCGCCTGTCCCGAACGCGCTACAAAACGGCCCACGCCTGAAAAGGTCCCGGGACTACTTTGGGCCGTTTTGTAGGGCGCTTTCCATTGGGATACTGCCAAGTAGCCTTTGGAATCGCGTGACGGGCGCGCAACTTTTTTACCGCCAATCGCGCTAAAAAAAAACGTGCGACAGACGCGCATATTACAATACGCCTAGGTGTGAATGGGGGCTAAGAGTAGTATCTCCCTTGACTGATATCTGAGTAATTCCATATTTATACCTTTCCTTCTGCATTGTGGGCATTTCCCCACTCCTTCATAACAAAGGGATCATTGACAGAGATACAAGCAATGACTTTCACCCCACGCGTTTTCAGGTCCTCGGCTTGACTCACGTATCCAGGCAAATGTGTCTGTGGGCGACAGATAAGTGACAATGACTAAACAAAGCAATACTTGCCAGGTGTGAAGCTACCAAGATTAACAATGTAACAGAAAACTTGGAAACCCACTAAGTGAAGCCGATTTACTAAAAGGATTACAAAATAAAATTCACTTCAAATATCCAATCATGTCGAAAGAAAATTCCCATTTACTTATTTCATCTACACATGATTGGATCATTGAAGTGAAAATGTACATAACTTATTGAGTGAACATTCTCAAATTCTTTAGTAAACCAGCCTCAAACTCTGCTTTACATTAGGTAGGAATTATGCATTGCAGGAAACAGCAGTATAGTGTTAGAAGTATTTTAAATCATGTGGTGATACAGCAAAGAGAACTAGGAATACTTAACACATTTTTCTGACAATCAGTCTGCGACAGTCCCCAATGGACATCCTCTCCCCCCGGAGGGTGAGGCGCTTCCTGGCGCACCATAAAGCGTCCTTGAAGCAACACATCACCCGCCAGGCGCCTCCGATCTCCTCTTCTGTAAAAGCGTCACAAAAAACAGTCCATACATCACCCAGAAGTGAGTAATCGCTGTCAGCGGCACAAAGTCCAGAGCCCTCAACAGAACAATGCCAGAAGAGATGCAGGGCCGTCTCCTCTTCGGTGATGCAAAAGGGGCAATGCCTGTATCCGCACAGGTTCCTGGCAAGCATAAAAGTTCTTACTGGCAACCCACCCTGGATCGCCATCCACTCCAGATCTTTGTGCCTGTTGGTGAGTCTCTTGGATGAGACACTGCGCCAGACAAATTTGCAAGTGTCCAGAGGGAGGCCCGGAAGAGTCCCAACAGTGTCCTTACAGCTGATGAGCTTGTAAATCGTCTTTGAACACATTATATACCCAAACACAAGGTCAGCTTATTAAATAGTGCCCCCTCATGCCAAAACATTGTATTCCACATTAAAAAAAAAAAAAAAAAAACCTATGGAGAAATGAGAAAAAATACATACTCTATCCCTGGACACACAGAGTATCCCAAATCAAGAAAAGAAGCTTCAGCACAATGCAGGAGAGTGTCTTCTGATGAATTCTGGGATTCTAAGCATTCCCAGGATCTCGCTAATAAGGACAGCAATTTTACCCTCACCTAGGGGCTGCAGGTGGAACCCTAGTGTAAGGTATGCAAATTTGTATTTCTTTTTTGCTTTAGAAGTTTTGACAGGGGAAGAGGTGAAGACACTATTCAATAAGCAGACCTTACATTTGGGCCCAAGGTCTACTTTAAAAGGAAGCCTGCCAAAAGAGAAAGAAGGAGTCTTCCACTTCTGAAAATTCTAGTTACCAGGCTGTCATGCAGATGGAACTTTAATACCCCAAATCACAGAGCCATAATAACTATACAAATAAAGGATTCCTAACTTTTCTCATGGGCAAATGTGCTTCAGGTTATTATGGAAGCCAGTAAGTCAGCAGAACATCAGTAATCAAGCATTGCAGGTAAAAATAAATAAGGAACCCTATAGTTTTAGGTTTACAGCTATATGAGAAAGCCAAATAACGGGATGTGAAACGTGACTGCATCTACAAGTTATTTTATTCATATAATAGTGAAATCTCCACAATGTCCTCTAGACCTCTATAGTATAAAAGGTAATTCACACCTCTTAATGTCCCTGAAGGAGCAGGTACTGATGTGAATCTCCAGGTTCAGATTCTGGAAGAAAACCCAATGAGCCACTGAAAACCCTTCAAACAGGAAAAATTAGTAAGCACCATGAAGAAAGAGCCCTGATGGAATCTGAACCAAGATTCCCAGCACTGCAAACAAGACCAATACAATAAAGTGTTTATTATGAAACAGTTTCATCAGGGGTGAATGTTCAGCCTTCCTACCACCTACGCCATGTTTCTCCAAAGGATAACTTATATATATATATATATATAAATCACACATTTTGGAACATAAATGTAACACTTAAGCCTTGGTGTGATGTCCGTTAGGTCCAACCTTCAAATGCTCTTTACAATTTTATCTGTTATAAAGATTATAAAATAGCTTTCTACATTTATGTGGCAACTAAAACCACTGGACAGAGTAAGATGTTCACAAAATTCTTACCATATTTCCTATTACAAAAGACTTCCATGTGATGACAGCACTGTAGACAGGACAATTCTGAGGGACATTTTCATGGTACCCAACAGGTCAATTCCATATTTAGTCTTATTTTACAAAGAATACGCAGAGCATACCACTATTTGATATGAAGCCTTACAACCTCTCTTGTTATCTTCCGCAAGCATCAAAGCTATTAATTACAGTCATTATTTTGGATGATTACATGAATTAAAGATGCTAATCTCCAAGTCATATAATCCTCTAATAATTAAAATGACTATAATTACAGACACTGAACCTGTCAGATATCTCTACCATGCACCATCATTCTTTTTCAATTAGCACTGTGAGGAGGAAAGCACTAGGCATAGAGAAGTTACCCAGAGAAAATAATTAAGAGGTCGCTTTACAGAAGGCGGCAGTTACGAGATGGATTCCGATTGGTTACTAGTTGTACCGCACTTTTCACCTACCACCGATTGTTGCCCTGTTAGAATAACATTTTTTGCATGTCTGAACTTAATGCCCATTAAGTAGCTCCCCCTTTTCTATAACACGGCTCTAATGCTGATTAGGTCTAGGAGCTATAATAGAGAAACATACTTTCCTTATTCCTCACTCCCTCTGGAAGCCTGGACTCTCCTTTGCTCCCAAAGTATGTGCAGGCCCTCTCAGGTACAGCACAGGACTGCTGGTTATGCATTGTACATCACTATGCTGATGACCAGGAAGGCACACGACTGGCATAGAGAAGCGGCTTTGTGGGTCTGGTTGTCCAACAGGGAGGAAGCTTGTGGGACTGAGGAATAAATTGAAGTGCATCTAAACCCCAAATTAAAAATGGAATACATTGCAGTTTACCGATACTTAAATGTGACGGACTCATTATTTTTTTTAAGGCTTTTTCCTTTATTTTCACCTGGTGATCCGGGCAGTAACACACTTCATGTCTTAGTGTGTCTTACTCTATGGCGGACCACCCTTAAGCATTGTTACCCTATGGAATTGGTTATGCTAGACTGACTAGAAGATTTAGATATATTAATGTAAGGCGACTGAGATTCACCTTTAATGAACCTTTGTTTTAAAGGACACCTAACACAGCCATCATTGACTATCACTTTTGCGTGTTAAAGTAGCATAATTATCCAGCAAGCACATCTTCTGATCTGCATACTTGCTGCAAATAACACAAAGCCTATATGTAATATATATTAGGCCTGACTGTACAGGTTTAAATCAGAAACTATTAGAGCCAGAGGGCAGCCAGACAGCAAGCGAGTTCCATAGGTGTTTATAAATGGCAGTCCCTATATACCCATCATTAACAGGTTTTTAGTTATGCCAATATGACCAAACACACTGATTTGGTATCACTGTGGGCAGTACAATATGAAGCTACAATAGGCATTGAAGAGCAGTAGTTCTTATAGGTCTTGGCTGTTTGCAAATCAAAAGGACTATATTAATTTGCAAGTATATTAAATACTAAACCTTATACCAAACAGAGATGAATCGTTTTAGGTTACTTTAAAAGTATGAAGGATTACTTTGGACAAATTCTATATACTTAGAGAATTTAAACAAGAAATATGCACACTTTATGGATCCCTCCATATATGTCCTATGACAATAAATGCCATATACTACAGGGTTACTTGGTAAAAATGTGTTGTAATAAAGGGCTGCATAATATATTATATTACAAAGACATGACTGCATCCAACCTACCTTGGAACACCCTGGGGTGAAAGCTCCTGGGACACCAAACAGAATCCCCTTCTCACTACCAAACACATCTTTCAGGCTAGTCTTGTTTCCTGGGCCGCCATCAAATACCAGCACTTCAGGAAGTGAATCTCCTACCTGTCAACATATCAGATAACAGCACGGGTCAGATAACTCCAACAAGGTTGCACAAAACATTACTGTAACATCAGCCTGTAAACATGATTTCATTCCACAGCCATTGTTTTGTTAAACTGCCTCAACAACAGGAGTGGCCCAGTGTTTCCTAGAAGACATATTGTCTGGGTTTTCCCATAAAAAGTTTGTAATAATTGCTGCATAATATTTCATCATACCCATCCTGTGTCTTCGCACTGCGTGCACCATAAGAGGATTGTGACCTGTTCATTGATTAATATTAAACTAATTACAGTAGTTACACAAGATATCACAATGATATAATATGGTAGAACAACCATCGAGGATTGTTTTCAATGTTTCCTTGCAATTTTGTCACAATATGTTAAGGAACTAAAAAAGTATTTTTACAAGCCTTATGGAGTATGTATATATAACAAAAATGTGCACAGCTTATGTGTCCATTAAAACTCCATGTACTTTTGTTCTTTGCATGGTAACCAACTGTTTTGAGGGGGCCAAAATGAATGTATGTTCTTAGCGTTACTTCTCTTCTGGTTGAATGTTCTTCAACAGGTATATTAATACAGAAAAATGAATGGGGAAAATACTGCATTATGGCCACTAGAGGGAGCTGAGGATCATAGGAAACAAATACATGTTAGTAAGGAGATACACTGTTACAATTCTAGAGACAGCTGGACGGAATGAGCATATTTGGCTAGGTTCACACCTAGGCGACACCTCACTGCACGGCAATCGTGCACAATTCCGCATGGATTGCCACACGGTCAGGAGTCGCCAAGGTGTTACCCTTCTCTGCAGCTTGGGCGATCTTTGGAATCCTACATCAGCATGAGAATCACTCCTGGATGTAGGAAGCTATTGTCTATAATAATATCTTTGGCGGGGAAGGAAACGATCCTGCATCAATGGATATTTTCTGAACCACCTTCTCTAACTCTCTTTTTGAGTAAGCCGATTGTTTGTATTTCAAAATGATTGGACTGAGACAATGCTCAGTAAGGAGAATCAAACATGTACAGGAATCATTCATTGACTCTTTACCAACAATTACAAAATGAAAACGTATGCAATCTTTTGATTTCCAATGATCCCCCAATAATTTTAGCTTTTGAGGTCAGTTGCTGCAAAAATCGAATGTTTCTTTTTTCCGTTCCTATATCTGTATTTATTTGTGCAGTAAATTGGAATATAGATAAATGTCCTGTTGTATTGATGTTATTTTTGTTACTATCTTCTGTTTTTTATATTGTTGTTGGTCTTTAATAAAAAGAATAAAGAGGCTAAGTTCGCTTTTCTGACCATGTTTCATAATACACCTACAGTATATTCAGGGTGTAACATAAAACATGGTCACATTGCAATCCCCGCACCCCCCTCCTACTTACCTGAATTGCAGGGTTCTTCTCTTTGCAGCCTGGTGTTTAGTTTTTAATTTGATGCGGCTGTGTGTGGCTCCGCCCACACAGCCGCATTATCCATTCACAGATCCTTTGACAGAATATGTGCATGGAGAAACCATCAGCCACCATGGCAAAGGGACTTGTACTTCTCAATGGAATACAAATGTGGTGACATCAAGGACAAAAGGTATGGACATGGACAGGAGGAAGAGTCAGCAGGAGCCAGAGCATTGCACCTGTGATTCACTGATCGCGGTTGCAATGTTTTACTGGCTCCAATGTAAAGAAACATAATAATTCTAATTTTTCTTTTATGCGCATATGATTTCTCTCTAAAAGGTGGAATTACCCTTTAAAAGTGAACCTGTTGCTTTACCCTTGCACTTTAAAGTGGCACTGTCACCTTACCCTGCTTGCTGACACAGCCGATTTCATTGCCGGCTGTGGAGGAGTGACGTGCAGCGAGATAGCACATGTAATACATTACTGTAATATATTGCAGCTTACCAATCCTTAAATATGGTGGCTGCACTAGCTTTCATTTTTAGGCTTTTTTTTACCCTTTATGATCCGGCCAGTAAGTTTATTATATTCCAACTTCCTTTAACAGGCCAAGCTAGAGCAGTGTCAGAGCAGGGTCGGGCAAACTCCGGCCCTCCAGCTGTTGTGGAACTACAAATCCCATGAGGCATTGCAAGATTCTCACAGTCACAGGCATGTCTCCCAGAGACTGATGAATGATGAATGATGGGATTTATAGCGTCACTACAGCTGGAGGGCCGGCGTTTGCCCACCCCTGGGTTGGGATATCAACCGCGGAGCCATTATATTTAAAGTTGATGTAAACCCTAAGGCCTGGTTCACACCTTGGCGTTTTACAGCGCGTTCCTACGCGCTGTAAAACGCTTAACATGTGAAAACCAATGTATGCCTATGGGCGCACATATTTGGTACGCCTAGGTGTGAACCCAGCCTAAATGAAGACATTTAGGGCCCAATCATAGCATGGTGCTTTGCTAACGTGCCGTGTGGTGTCATGAAGAATGAATGGCACCCCAATGCACTCGCAGTCTACTGCCACAAATGCAGCACATGCTTTTTTTGGCCGAAATTCAAGCCATGGGTGACCCTGCATGAACCCCTCCAATCAGCAAAAGATTATTTTTTGATTACATTTTATTGAAGGAGTCTATTCAGCATGGATAGAGATTAAATGGATTTCTCTTGTTCAGCCTGCGGGGCTGAACGAGAGACATTTGAAGAGTGTATGGCCACATTTAGGCTGATACGGTTCTGTGTATCAAAGAATTTTCTGGTTTTTAAAAAAAGACTTATTTTGACCTTTTTCATCCGTTGTTGCTTTTTCATTGACTGCAGCCTCTTTTCAGCCATTTCTGTCTACAAGCTCTCCAGCAATGGTTGCATGGCATTCCTCAGGGCAGTCTTCCCTGAGTAAAGCCATGCAGTGGATCATGCCTCAACAATGAGTGTCAGCACGGCCTCTTCATTTCCACTGAAAGCATGTTTGACAGGGTGACAACACAGGACAACAACCAGAAGACAGGGAAAGAGTGTTGTCACTGCAAAACTATGTCTCTAAAGACCAGGATCACCTTAAAACCTGCAACGTGTCCAGTATTGGGGAAGAGTTCTCTAGTTTAGGAAGTGTTTTCAATCAAGTTAGTAAAAAAAAAAC